AAGTGTTTCCCAATCCGGAGCTGGCAACCCTGTGCGTGCGCGCGTACATGTGTACACAGAGTGAGAGAGAGTTTATTTACTCCTAGGCTTTTAAAAATCAACTAGTTGCTTAAGATCTACCAGGTGCTGCCTTTATTCAATAATATTAACTCCAAAGTGTGTGTGTGTGGGGGGGGGGTGTCAGAGGTACCGTTACCTTTTGTCATTAACCCAGAATAGTTGCTACATCAATGTACTTAAACTGTAAGTCCTTTTGGATTCGTAGACATCAATGACTGGGGATCACTGTAGTCCCATAAGAACTACAGATGTCTCAACTTGGTGAATCTGTCTTGCATACATCTGGTGAATGGCAAAATCTTGAATTCCTTATGAAGGGGGATGGGAGAGCCTGTCCTAACCCGTAACCATCAGGAGGTGGTGGAGAATGGGGGCAGTCAGGGTTATGAAAGCTCATGGTGGCTGGGGTCAGCAGTCCCCATATCACCAGCAGTCTCCATATCACCACAGCAGCCACAGATCTGTTTATTTAGATATCTATACCCTGCTTTTCTTCCCAATGGGGACTCAAAGCTGCTTATAACATTGCTCTCCCCTTCTCCATTTTGTCCTGACCGCTCTCTGGGTCACAGTGTTCCCTCTAAGCTGAGTTAGTGTGAGCTAGCTCAGTTTTTTAGCCTCCGGCTCACACATTTTTGTCTTGGCTCAGAAAGGATGGCTCCCAGAGCAAACTAATTTATGCAGTAGCCAAATCACTCGCTCACAACTTTAATGCCAGTAGCTCACAAAGTAGAATTTTTGCTTACAAGACTCCACAGCTTAGAGGGAGCATTGCTCTGGGATGGGTTGGGCTGAGAGAGAGAGAGTGGCCGAGACTTTCATCTGTCACGTTAACTACTACAGGATACTATCTACATACTGAACAATGCCAAATGAAATGCCTGTCTTTACAGCTGCCTCCCAATATTTGCTATAGGGAATACTTTGTAGGTCAAAGGTTGAGTTAGCATTTCTCAAACCTCTTAATTTAAAGCAAGGACAAAATATTCTATTTTAAAATGAACATTTTATTCTAAGGTGTTTAGTTAAAATTATTGTTGTTGTTGTTGTTTTGACTGGTAGATGGTGTTCTGTAATTTGAGATCTCACCAAGTTCTTGGGAATTGCAACTCTATCTTTGCAGAATTCCTCCTGTTCTAAGTAACACTGTCTTCAGAATTCTCAGAATATCCAGGTGTTTTTTGAGACTTTTAGGTATTGCTCCGAGGGCTCCAATGACAATTGGCGTGATGGTAACTGTTTTCTCCCAGAAGCGTTCTAACTCTGTTTATAGGTCTTTGTATTTCGTGGTCTTGTCCTGTTCTTTCTTTTCCATTCTGCCATCTCCTGGAATTGCAGTGTCAATGATCCAAATCCTATTTCTCCTTTTTTCCACAGTTGTGCTATCAGGGTATTATACTCCCAAGTGTTTATCTGTTTGCAATTGTAAGTCCCAAAAAATCTTTCTTTGATCATTCTCCGTGATCTTGTCTGGTTTGTGCTCCCATGAATTTCTGGCTTATGGTAAGCCATGCTTCTTGCAAAGATTCCAGTGCAACATAACTGCAACTCTATGGTGACATTCCTTATAGTCAGTTTGAGCAATTTTACTGCAGGCACTGACCATGTGGTGGACTGTTTCATCCTTTGTCTTGCAAAGTCAACGTTTGCTGTCGTCACTGGTTTTCTGAATCTTGGCGTTCATACTGTTTGTTCAGGCCTGTAGCGAGGATTTTGTAATTTGGGAGGTCTTTAAATAAGTCAGGGGGCACTGATGTCACAAAATAAAAAATTAAAATTATTTTTTTAAAAAATTCACTTTTGCAGCGTTCGCACTCTGCCTGCCTAAGTGGGGATGCAAGTCATGCTTGAGGAAGGGGTGGTGGTGGAGAGTCCTCCAAGTGGTCCAGAGAGCTGGGGGCCTGGGGGCTGGATGGAAGTTGGGGTGCCTTGACAGGAAGGTGGGGGCCAGGCCCCTAAATGCCCCACTGTAGCTATGGGCCTGTGTTTGTTTCATGTGCCTGCTCTTGTGCAGCTAGAATGAGTTCTTTTGTTTCTTTCTTGAAGTGCCCATTTTGGAGCCACTTCCAGGTGTTTTCATTATCAACTTTGTTCTCTGTATCTTTCAAGTATTGCCCATGCAAGTGTTTTTCCTTTCAGTTGTCCAAGTGAGTTTTGATTGCAATCTTTTTGTAATCTTTTTTGGTTTCTGTAACCTGAAATAAGTCTGCCTTGTATATTTCAACTAGAAGCTTCTCTTTACTTTTCTTGGTGCAGTAATTCAGTGCTCATTTTTCTTCTTCAACTGCTTGCTTAACTTTCAGGAGACCTCTTCCACCTAAGTTTCTTGGTAAATAAAGGCAATCAGCATCACTTATAGGGTGTAATGTGTGATGCATCATTATTATCTTGTGAGTTTTGCAATCTATTGCTTCTAATTCTGCTTGTTTTCAATTGATAATGTCAGTTGTGTATCTTAGAACTGGGACTGCCCACATGTTGATCACCTTTACCATGTTGCCTTCATTTAATTTTGTTTGCAAAATCTTTTAAACTCTTTGGTAGTACTCCTTGGTTGTATTTTTTACAAGGGTATGTTTGATGTTGCCAGCTTCCAGAATTCCAAGGTATTTGTTGTTTTCCCCCAAGCCCGGTATTTTAATGTTGTTCTTTGGCATCTTGATTTCTTCTTCTTCAATTATCTTTCCTCTGTTGAAGTGTGAATGCTGCACATTTCAATATCCATTGCTGTATATTCAAACTGTATTTAGTAAAGATTCAATCTCTGAGGATGACTTTCCGTACATTTTCATGTGCTGTTGAGAATGATTGTGAGGGTATTAGGGCAATGACAAAGAGCAGTGGTGATGGTGAGTGTCCTTGGATAATTTCTCTTTTGGTATTAACTATTCCAGTTTCTTCTCCATTCACTATCAACCTGGTGCTTCATTTACTCATTGCATTTTTGATAAATGTTGTTACAGTTTTCCCTGATGCCTACCATTTCTAGTGTTTTCAGGATCCATGTATGAGGGAGTGAATCAAATGCCTTCTTGTAATCCAAGTAACATTCAGGTTGGTTTCCCACCTTTTACAATTTTGTAAGACAGTATTATCAATCAGTAACTTAAAGGTGCCACTGGACTCAAGCTTCTTCTGATCTTTAGTGCCTCAAGGTTTTTGGAAAATTCCTTTTAGCGCCTGTGGTAAAATTGAATTGAGCTGTAGATATTCTTGAATGGAATTGGCTACAATCCCTGTCAGTAGTTTAAAAGTTGTTGGGAAGCAGGTAATGGGGTAGAAGTTGCTTGGCACTGCGCCTCTCTCTTTGTTCTTCAGAATGGGAAATGCCCTGCCAGTTGTTATTCAGTCTTCTACTGCTTTGGAATGGGACATATCATTAAGCTTTGCACCAGTCGTGAAGACTTGTCAGTTTTTTTAAACCAACAGCTGTGAACTTCATCCGTTCCAGGTGCTGTCCAATATTTAACTTTCTTCAATGGTTTTGCAGGCTTTCCAAAGTTATTGTAAGAATTTGCATTCCTTTCAGTTTGTTTTTCACATCTGTGATCCAGATGGCTCTTTTATTGTATTCTTTAAAGTCTTCCCAGAGTTCTTTCAAGAAGGTTGTCTTTTCTTTGTCTAGTTTTCCTTCTGCTTTTTCCTCTCCTTCTAGTGATTTGTAGAACTGTCTTTGGTTAGTCTGGAACTGGAAGTTTTGTCTGTATTTCTGGATGCTACTGTTGTACCTTTTGATGTTCTTCTTGGATATATTGCAACAATTCTTTTTTTATTTATTCTGCAACTTGGGCTATTGTTTTTATATCTAACTGATATTTCTTCCTGATGTTTGCTTTCCTTCTTTCCTTATTGAGCTTCCTTTCTTTTAATTCCTTTAAGGGGCTTAAGTCTGAACAGCATTTATTGTTTTCTCCAATCTCATTTGCCAGTTTGGTTTTGCCTTAAAATCCTTAACTGCCTTTGTCTTAAGGTCGATTCCCAATTCTCTTGTTACTATAACCGCTGCACTATACATCAACAGTTGGTTTCAGTTACGTTTGTTGTAGGAATTGTTTCAACTGCTGCATTAATATTTTCAATGAGTCTTGCAAGTTCTTTCTTTGATGATGTTCTGAGCACAGGTAATCTTTGTCTGTCTTCTTTGCTATTAATATGCTGTAAGACATTTTTGCCTTCAGTTGTTCCTGTACAAAGTTGAGCTGTTGATGTATTGTCAATATCTTGCTCTTAATTAGTGGACTTTCAAGAGCAATTTCATTTCTATGGCCTGTTTCTTGGTTGGCTTCATTTATTTATTGTTCTTCCTTTGAGTGGCTGTTGTTCCTTATTCATGTAGCTCTATTGCTGTGAAAAAGTTGTTTTGCATGATAAAACAGTGCTGATCTGCTAGTCGCTGTTCAGTGATGGTAGATTGGGACACTTTTCTTTTCATATTTCAAACATTCATTTCAAATCTGCACACTGTTCAGGCCTTGATTCAGAATAACATTGCATGGTGATTCTGTTTTGTTCTCGATGTTGCTGGTTTTCCAGTAACTGATTAGTTCCCTGCTCTGGTTGCTTTATAGAAGAATCTGCCCTGGTTACACAATAGAAGAGCCTGTGTCTTGTAGCCCATTTTTCATCAGAATTCCAGAAACACCAACCTCTGATGCTATCTTGTTAACCTGGGCTATGACTGAGCTGGTATAGACTTCAAATTTGATTTTTTTCCCCACCATATTGATGCAATTAGTTTGACTACTTAACAGAGGCCTGTCTAAAGTGGGAGACCCTGGCTCAGTCCTCTGCTTCAGTGGAGTACACAAACCCCACCAACATAGCAAGCTAGTATCCCATGGGGAGATTATTATTATTATTAGTTTCATATTCTGTACTTTGTTCCTTTTGGTGGTTTTAGGTACTATTTTTAATTGATTGCTCCAAGGACAGAACAAACCATGGGGAGGAAGCTGGACCTATCTGGTTTGACTGATGATGAAGCTGAGCATGTCCTTCAGGTGGTCCAGCGAGATTTCAACCTCCGCAAAAAAGAAGAAGATAGACTGAGGTAAGTCTGTTGTGTGTGAGAATAGAATGTAGAGGAATTTAGATAAGGAAGCTTTTAATGTAGTATTTTATATTGTATGCCATTGTTACAGTATGAACACAGTGTGTTTAGACTCAGAATATGAAGGAATGATTGTCACTTCAAAAGAAAATCACAGAATGGAACTGAATACATTTCATTTTTTTAAGTATGCCCCTTTTTTGAATATATATAGGATCCCTGCTTGTTTTATCCTAGTTCCAATACATATCTTTCCATCTTACATTTATTGAGGAGTTACAGTCACTTTGTTCTCATACAGCATATGTACAGTCCCGCTCTGTGTAATCCCCCATATAAATAAAAGCCGAATGATGGTGGCACTTCTCTAGAACAGTCCACACACTCCAAAATCAGTTCGCTCTCTGATCTGTCATTCAGAGGGTCTCCCTATCCACTGGCTGCTTTGCCTGCCTCCTGCCTCCAACATTCTAAATATTTTGCTGTTCCTCTCCCCCCCATAGCCAGTCAGAACACAGAGGTTATTTGCATATGCAGCCTCATTGGCCTTTGCCTCGGAACACAGGGGTCGTTTGCATATGTGACTTGATTGGCTTTTGCCTCTAACATTCTAAACAGTTTTCTGTTCTGAGGTAAAATGTGTCCAATCTTCAGGTGAGGGCTGGAGATCCCTCAGAATTACAACTCCTTTCCAGATGGCAGAGATCAGATCCCCTGGAGAAAATGGTGGGCTCTGTATCCTTATATGCTGCTGAGGTGGCCCCCATATGACAGCCAATGTGACGTAGCAGTCAGGGCTTCAGAGCACGGGAGAGGCTGCAGGTGTGTGGAGGGTGGAAAGCTGAAGAGTGAAGGGGAAATAAAGGTAGGTTGATGCTTGGCTGGGAAGCAGATAGGGTTGCCAACTCCAGGTGGGAAATTCCTGGAGATGTGAGGGATGGAGCCTGGAGAGGGTGAGGTTTCAGGAGGCGTGGGACCTCGGACAGGTACAAAGCCATAGACTCCACCCTCCAAACCAACTATTCCTTTCTGGGGAACCATCGTTGACAATCTCCAGGTGAGGGCTGGAGATCACTCAAAATTACAACTGTTCTTTAGGTAGCAGAGATCAGTTCCTCTGGAGAAAATGGTGGACTCAGTGTCATTATACCCTTCTGAGGTCGCCACAGCAAATTGACACTGAGTGTCCAAGGCCGGGGCACCCGCCCAGAGCCTGTTTCTAGAGATAGTTGTATTTACTTCCACAACAGGCCTTTTTCCTAGTATTTTAATATTGCTTAACTGAATCATCCTGATTGAGTCCATGGTTGGTTCAAGATATTTTGTCACTCCAAGCACAATAGTTTTGCCATCACCCTTCCCCCTGATAAGCTTCTGAACAGCACGAAATGGGTTTATGAAAAATAACTTAGTATTTTGTGGCATACTGTTTTCTACTATTTTAAAAACTTGTTAACATTAAATATATAATTCATTGCAAGGGATTATAGCTGTTTGGCAGAATTCATTTTGATTGGTGTTAAAATTGCTCTCCACCTTGAAGTGCCCTCAAATTCCTTGTTTGTTTATAAAGACCAACAGATTTACTGTAGAATAAATAACTGATGAATTATAATTGTCAATAATTGTATTAAGCAGGGCAGAAACAGAGACAATGGATGTCTCACCCACTACAAAGTTCATGTAACTAGATGTTATGTTCTGCTAAAGAAGAAGCCTTGTTCTAGTAGAAGAGGTGTATTCTACCAGAAGAAGGATTTGCTGTTAGCAGAGTAGAAACTCTGGATCCGGCCTTATGTCATCTCCAGTTATAGCTGTTGAGAATGGTCACATTGACTAACTCATCTTTGTGTGCACCATACTTTTTTATATTTCTTTCCTCAAAAACAAAAACAAAAAAATCAGCTATGGTGCAAACTGGGCATCACATGCCAGTGTGTTTCCATCTCCTAATGTGATCTGTACTGCCACGATCCATCCTCTTAGGGGCCAGCCTGCTGCTTGACAGTAGCAGTTGTAGCCAGACGCAGACTGTGCTTCTGGTACTAGGCCTGACTATATCCTGGAAAACCTCTACTTTGGTGGTCTTAGGAGTTAGGGAAGGGCAACAGGTGTCCATGGCAGGAGGAACGACCGAGCCCTAACAGCTTCTTATTTTAGAGTCTAAGCACTGTACTGCACTGACATTTAAACAATTATTTGCTATAGTGAAACTGTGCTGACATGGAAGAACAGCTAGGGAGCACACAGAAATGTTGCAGAGGATGGGGTAGGAAAAAGAGAAAACAATTACAGGAAAAAAAATTAAGGTTACAATAGTTTGCATGCTTTCTTGCAAGTAAGACCAGCTGAACTCAGTGGCTAGGCTAAGGCTGTATGTGTCATTTAGGGCTACTTCAGACACAGTATGTTTGAGAGTTGCACTAACCTGTTTTTTAGTTTAATGTACATATAATGTACATATAATGTACATAATCCGGGCCCTGCAGGACCTTGTGCAGGTCCGCAGGGCCTGTAAGACGGAGCTCTTCCACCAGGCGTATGAGTAGGAGCCGCCACTACCATCACTATTGCTCCATCTTAACCTGGCCCTGGATGAGGGAACATCAGCGTTTCCCCGGAGCGGATGATGCTGAACAGTTGAAATACGCCATCTGTGAAATATCATGTGAACACCTAGAGCACTTTAGTTCAAAACTTGCTAATAAGGTTTTGTATTGTATGGATTTTAAATGGTTTTAAATATGTTTTTATATTGGCGTATGCCCTTGTGTAAGCCACCCTGAGCCTGCATTGCGGGGAGGGCGGGGTATAAATTGAATAAAATAAATAATAAATAAATAAATAACACGTGGGCCTAACAAATAGGTGTTTTTAACCATGACTACCATGCACTCTAGAATTAATTGCTGCCCCTGATCAATAATAAATCCAAATTTCTTGCTGTGTAACATTTGAAGCTGCAGATAGTTACACTGCATACAGTGATACAACTAGGTTTCCATCCAGTAATGGTCCTCCATTAAAGATATAAAAATCAATTTTAAGAATGGATCCAGCACAATATCTGGAAACTAAGAATGCAGTGAATCAGCAGAAATCACCAACCCAGGTTTGTATTTTCTTTTTACCAGGAAGACACTAAAGAAAGTAAGAATACCAGAGTTTGTATGGTAGCTAGTATTTTTACATTCTTGGGAGTGAATATGTGATCCTAGGAACTAGTGAGGTTTAGTGGTTTTATTTATTGATCTCTATTCTGTCTCTGGTGGTTCTGTAGCTTTGAAGATGAGAAAAGATACTCTCTTTGATGTTAGGTCTAGACTTCTTAAACTGTTTTCAGAGATCTGTCTCTTGCAGAAAAAATGCAATGCCATTTGTTTGTTTACATGTCTCTTTCTATACTGGCCACACAAAACAATAATGTAGATTCCATCTTGCTTTGAGTACTGAAGGCTATCATTTTCTTGAATGTTACAGGTAAGATTGGTATGTTAGCAAATTAACCCATTGGTATGTTAGTATGTTATGTATGTTAGTAAATTGGTTGGTATGTTAGTAAATTAACCCATTGATTGAATGCATAGCATTTGACTGAAGTCAGGAATACTTCAGTTTGGTGGCAGCTTCATTTTAATTTCATTACAGCATCAGTTTGTTATCAAGGACAGGAACAAAGGCTGCTTGCGCTGTAGTCCTATAGCTGTTGGGAATAGCCCTAAGTGCATAGCAAAGCTTTTGTTACTGGTCACCTGTTATAACTACAAGCATCTCAAAACTGCAAAGAACTGGCCTGCTCTCTAGTAAATCGTAACTCTTAAACTGGTCCCTCAAGGTGTCCCTTTGATTTCAGTTTGGTCTGCAGGCAGTTACCAGGTGACATTGTTTAATGTTGCCATAAAAGGCTTCAGCTGCCCATTTCCTGTCATTACATCTCTGTTAATGGAGTGGGATTATCCCCCCACCTCCAGTTGGCAGTCTTATCCCTTCTTGACACAACTTCCTTTAAAAGATGACTCTGTATTGTAATAGTTACTGTTATTTTCCTTTTCTGTCTAAATTTCAGTTTTAAGTGGAAATTGTAGACCGGCCCTGGTGTTCAAGGATAATAAACAAAGAGGGGAGGAAATTCTGTGAAATGTTCTCATTTATAGAAACTTTGTCTAACATTATTAAAAAATGTTAAAGAGTTATCAGTTAATTTCATTGTTTCATAGTGTCAGTTAACGTTTTTGGTCATTAAAATTAATTGGTTTCATGCTAACGCTAAAAATATTTTTGTTCTTGTAAAACTAATGCTTTAAAAGCAATATTTGTAATCTTACCCTGGAAAAACATAGCAGCACAGAGCAACTCACTTGTGCTGCTATTTTCCACTGAGCTGTTTCACTCTCTGTCATGTCTAGCTGGAATATCACAGTAGATACTGAATCCCTAGAGAGTGCCAAAGTCTTTCAAGGTTGAGGTTGCAGCTGCTTTCACACACATTGAATAATGCACTATAGCAGCTGTTTGTAACTGGATTTTCCTGTCTCATACAGGAAAATTCAATTAAAAATGATTACTATAGTGCACTGAGAGTGCCTTAGCCAAAAATGTGTGAAAGCAGCCTGTATGATGACATTCTGCCACTAAAATGTTGCCATGCAGTCTGTGTAAAAGTGCAGTTCTACAAATGCATTACTGGTTTCGTGCACAGGGCACCTGTGGGATTTAGCACTGAGGGAAAAACCTTGTGTGTGCTTGTATGTGAATGGGTTTTCAAATTCCATTTTAAAAAAGGTAATGTGTTGTGTTTTGACCAGTGTGGTCTCTACCCCAGCCTCCACCTGACAGATAGGCCCTAAGTGGCTTCTGAATGCAGTAATTCCAGATGATGACTGAGGTAAAAGGGGGGGGGGAGATGATGACTGAGGTAAATGGGGGATAACTTTCTTGGATGGAATAAGGTAAAGAGTGGCTTTGTGTTATATATGCAGCATCTGCTGGACTCTCTTAAG